GCAAGCAGGCCAGGTCAGGGAAGGGTGTGCAAGCAGGCCAGGTCAGGGAAGGGTGTGCAAGCAGGCCAGGCCAGGGAAGGGTGTGCAAGCAGGCCCGGCCAGGCCAGGTCAAGAGAGCTGGGTGGCTTTCGGGAGCCACATGGCATGTGGTGTAGGACATGGATGGAGGGTGAGAGGTGAGCAAGGTCCTATTTTAGGTCTAAGCATTGGGTTTTCCAGAAGGTCAGCTGACAGAAAAGTAACAGAGCAGCACGGTGCCCTGCTGGAGCGATAGCGATTCTGTCGTGTCGAAAGCGAGTCTGTGGAGGACTGGAGACGTCCGAAGTGATCCGCAGGAGAGCTGAGGGCAGCAGGGTCAGGGGATGGAGAGGGAGGAGCACTGAGCAGCAGCCTGGAAGCACAGGCGAGGGCTGGCCTCTGGTGGACAGGGAGCCCGTTCAGAGAGGGAACTGCCAGGTTCTTTGGGCAGGTGTAGATGCGCCCGCAGGACATCAGGCAGAGCTCAGGGGATGGAGGTCGACCTCTCGACAAGGGGAGGGAGAGAAGCCAGGGAAGCAGCATGTTACAAATGAGCAGAGGCCAAATGAGAACGCAGCTGAGTCGGCCTGGCGGAGTCACAGAGCCCACAAGTCCCACACGTCCCGCTCAGGGACGCCACTGGCATGTGTGATGACGTGTGACGTTCTGCAGCTTGTGACGGGGAAGCGGGCGTTGCTGGGGTCGAGCTCTGTGGTTGGTTGTAAACCATACAGCTTCAACACAGTGGTCAGTAGTGCAGTATTCTCACGCCGTTACGTGAAGCCTGGCCCCCGGCCCGAGGCCCCACGGCATTGTTTCAAGTAGGCCTGAAATACAAGCAAGAAAGTGGAGGCAGAAGCACAAAGGAGCAGAGTTCGGGGAACAGGAGGCTGAGCCCCTGGCAGCCTGGAAGGACCCCTAGACATTCTCTAAGAGGATTTCCAAGCTGTCACTCAGGAAAAGGCACACACAGGTTTGGGTCGCGTCGCAGGGCTCTCTGAGTGCCGAAGATATTTGAACTGAGGGTATTTCTGCAGAGTCAGAGTGGATGGAAATACGGCATTTCCCTAGATGAAAATGTGAAGACCCACCCTCTGATGAGACCCTTCAAGACGCTGACTGAGAAGGTAAGAATTGGCCGCCTTGTGGTCCGGCTCTTTCCCTGGGAGGTGTATTGGAAGCTCAGAGGAGTCCGGACAGGGAGCAGTCTTCCAAGCTCCTGGCCTTTGGAGTCTGCCCCTAAGCCTGTCAGGGGGCAGCAGCCCCAGGACCATTTGCATGATTATGTCTCAGACTCTATTCTTTGGCTCTGAAAACCAAAGACTGGTGAACAAAAGCTCTGTTTAGCACTTAAGGCTGGGCCAAAATGTGCTTAGATTCTCCTGCAGCTGAGCTAGGAAGGGGTTTTGTTAGATCGTTGGAACTGGGTCGGTAAAAGGGCTGGAGCTCCTTGGAGAAACTCAAACACATTATATACACATAGATGACACCAAGATAGGAAGTCCCCATGGAAATATGAACACGTCTCTGTTTGTAAATTAAGATGTTTGATTCATCTCAACTCTGAGTTCCTATTTTGCAATCAGTAAGCACGGTTTGTGAGATTCAACTTAGTGATCTCTGTAAGAGATGGCATGTGTGTCTCTGTTTGAATATTGATTATATGTGAAATTACACTTTGATCAAAACATAATTCAGCCAGAGGTTCATGCCTAGCTACTCAGGAGGCTGAGATGCAGAAGCTTGCAATTCAAAGTTAGCCTAGGCAGAAAAGTCTGCAAGATAGCTTCTGCAGGGCAAATGACATAGCTAGCAAGATCAATAGAAAGCCCACGGATTGGGGGAAGATCTTCACTAGCCATACAATGGACAAGGGTCTCATATCTAAAATATACTTGGAACTCAAAAAATTAAA